GAGAGAGAGAGAGGTCAATGCAACAGTGTGCTGCTTTCAACTTTTTTGTGTGTCACTTACGAAGAATTATTAAAACGAGTGGTTGGTTTTTATGTGTTTTTGTAGGTTAATGTTAGGGCCGCTTCAAATGGAAACCCCACAAGAGTTGATTTTCAACTTACATACTGTAGGAGAGAGTTGCTTCTTCAATGGGGTGGCCTATATCATGGCCAAACGTGAGTTTTATGGTTATAAAATCTCGACTGTTTATTCCTTTGTCGTTTTGCTTATATAATTCATCAGAAGACATGACATGACCATTTTTCTTGCATTTTAGGAATTGGGTTCTTCCATCTGATCGTCGCCCTTATGGAACTCGGACCTGGAAAGACCACGCATTGCAAACACCGTTTGCTAAGGTTGTTACAGTGTTCTCTGTGTGCTTTATATATTGAGAATTTTAGCCTATGAAGCATCGATACTTCAAAATGGGTATTGCATCCATATCATACTATTTAAATGTGCATAGAATCATAATACTGATGCTATAACCGTGTCCTAGTTCTGTCTAAGAATGATAAGTTTTTAGCATCGGCTGGCATGTGCTCGGCTCTATCAATAGAAACTCGATTGAATCGACAAGTTGATATTTTTTAGGGGTAATTGTTTTGGGAGAAGGTGGATTTTTTGGTAGGTTTGGAATTGGATGGGATTTTCATTTTCTTTTGTTTGTTTTTTTGTTCCAATTGAGAGCTCTTGGTCAAATAACTTTTATGAAGTTGGTGATTGTCATCTTCTTGTAAAAGATTTGGGGAGTATTGTTGTTTTTTTCTTAAACGTCCAAAAAACGTAATGCTATTATGCTTCTTGAAGTGACTTGCATCTTGCGTTGTGCAGCATGGAGAGACTTGGTTGCTTACAATTGAAATGCGAGACACGAGAATCCATGCTATTGAGTTTGTTTTGAAAGATGAAATACAGGATAAATGGTGGGTCTTGTATTCTTGGCAGTTCATTTGTTATATGTTTGGTGTGTATTTTATTTTATTTTAATTTTTTTTTCTTATAAAATGCTTCAAGTTTTCTTTATCATCTTTCTAGGCTGAAGAACAACCAAGGGAACTTTCGAATTCAGATTCCGAGATGTGATCCTTATGCTTCCCTTTCATCAATACCTCATGAATTAGTACAACTGAAGGCATATTTATCGTGGGAAAGAAAGGGAAAGCCAAGAAATTCACCCCAGCAGGAAAAGGTATACTTATATTTTATAAAGCGAACATCATCATCCAAGCCTTATCCCAACTATTTGTGAGTTGGCTACACGAATCTTGTTCCGCCATTCCACTCGATCAATGGCCATATCTTTTTTTTTGACATCTTATGAAGTGAATTGCCTTAACTTATGCTGTATTGTATCTTGTGAAGGGTTGTTTTATGAAATAATGATATTATGGGCAGATTTTAATGCTCTCCATAGCGACTAATTTAGGTTTGTAATTAGGTGATACTAGGATTGACAGGCATATGAGATTTTATTAAATAGTATTGTTGAGATAATAGGACATTATGCCTTTTACCATCTGATATTTTCAATGGGGTCCTTGTCGTGTTATACATGGGGCTTTATTGACTTATAAATCTAGTTTGAATTTTAGTCCTAAATTGCGTTGATTGTCAATCGCTTTAAGTTTTGTTCTTGGACATATTATTTGGAACATTTTGTTGTATTGTGATGCATAGAATGTGGTTTGTGTGGACAGAGACAAATTGGATCAATGCTTGCATATTTGCAAGAAACCAAGAAGGTTTCCTGTAGTGCTGAATGGATCCCTTAAATATAATAAAACATGCATGGGTCTTAGGGTGGAAGGACCCGATTTCATGGGTTTAATATTTTATTTTGATAATAAAATGTCTTTGAATTAGGTAGTATCGTATAATCTTTCCTGAGATGTGCAAATATACTGGATTGAGTCACGCAATCTCATATTAAAACACAATCAAGTGTGATCAATTTAGTCTGCCTTTGTTGGCCTACGTAGCTTCTGACTTCAGCTTTGTTCTTTGTATGTTAAATTTGTTGAATTTTGCATTTTTTTCTCTATGTACAGCAAGACTATGAAGCTGCCCTGAAGGATCTTCAGGCTCAATTATCAATGGGACTTAGCTTAGCTGATATCAGGAGTAGTTTGCAGGCGTCAAATACCGACAGGAATGCTGAAAACAAAGGAAACACAAATACCGACAGGAATGCTGAAAACAAAGGAAACCGGACGTTGGCTAGTAATATTACCCCTTCTCCTGATTATCAAAAAACATATACTACTACTCCTGTTTCTCATAAGCGATGGAATGTTGATCAATGGATAAACAAATGTATTGATGCAAATGCTCAAACCAAGGGCACATGTTTGCCAGCTTCGAGCTTATTAGCTCTGGTTGAGAAGTTAGTTCCAGATTCAGATCAAGGCAACGTGGTCCGAAGGCACATATTTAAAGTTGGAAGCCATGAAGTGGTGGTTGGTTCTCAAACTTCGATTTTAAGGCAAAATATCAGGAAAATATATGGAACACCTGCATAGATCATGCAGGTACTAATGACTAATTTACCTTGAGTTTAACAAATTTTCTAAACTGGGGTTTAAAATAGTCATCCTAAAATTGATTTATGGGTCAAACTAAGTACCTGGTATCCAATTTTCTGGACCATCTGCATGATCATTGTAACCTTGTATGTGGTCCAGCTGTTTCCCTGATATTTTCCCGAATTTTTTTACAGAAATGCAGTGTTCCCACTGCATATAAGCCTAATCACTATTACTGGAACAGGCGCTTCTAATGACTTTAAGAGATGACAAGCACTTACTACTTGGTGTTGATATGGAAGATTATGCAGTGCTCCACTGGGGTGTCTCGAAGCAGTCATCTGGTGAATGGTTGGTAGGTTGAGAGCCCATTTCTTTTCTTGCTGTTCAATAGTATCATTGAAAATAGAAGTTGCCCCTATAAATATTTTGTTTGGGAAGCTCACACATTAACTTTTATCATCCATATATGTTCTTTTAATTCAGGCTCCTCCATTAGAAATTGTGCCTCAAAGGTCCAAGATGCTTGATGGAGCATGCCAGTCATACTTCGACAAGAAGTCCACTAGTGGAATATCTTTTCAGGTGATTACTTCTGCATATAGGTTCAATTGTATTAGTCTTCTTTCTTTAATAAGTTTTTTCCAGCACTCACCTTTATGGTATATAGCATGTAAATCACAAGAATAAAATTTGAACTATGTGAGCCATCTAAGAGATAACGTAATAGCCTCAATACACAAATAAGGTTATTTCTCATCATAATGGCAATTCTGAAACTTGTGAGGCCATTTCTGAGTTGTTCTGTTTTTAAACTTATATCCAGTTGAAGAATTTTCACAAACTTGATTGACTCAGAAGGTTGGATTTGATTGACTCAGAAGGTTGAATTTTCACAAACTTGATTGACTCAGAAGTTTGTCTAGAATATCATTGTTTTCTTGAGGAAGTATGGTGGCTAAAATCTTCTGTCAATCACTTTTTTAGTTCTTCACTTGTAAGGAAATATGATAAAGAAGAAGAAGAGAAAACAAGTAAGGTAAGTGTAGGATTCAAGACTATGGTGGCTTAAAATCACCAATACCTGAAATATATTAGCTTCTATGCTAAAAGTAATGGTGGAAAAGTTCATCCTACTTTTATTTAGGACAAAAGTTGAAAGTGTGACTCAGTGTACCTGTTATTTTGCTCAACGTCACGTGCGAGAAAAAGGTTTTGAAGTCCCTTATTAGTTTTGTCATGGTTTCCACTGTGTGCACTCCTGATCCCTCAGCTTGGTCAGTTTTCTGAGCAATTTGAAGGGCCCAATATTGGTGGTATTTTACTTTACCAACGTAATTCTCTTTTTAGATCTTTCATGTTGAAAAGTTTGAACTCCATATTTAGTTCTCCTTTTGTGGATTGTTTTTCTAATGGTCTGTGAGTATCATTTTGTCTGTGAGTGGAAGGGCTTTCGTATTGCATTAAAAGATTCTATAGTGGTCAACAGGGAGGTGTTTGCCATCACCTTTTACAATGGAGCAACTCTGCAAAGTGCCAATCCTTTCCCCATTAATAGAATGGAAATGGGCTTTTTTGAGCTCTTTTTATTTCTGTTATGGTATACAAATTGAGTATGCATCCATTGCATTAGGGAAACTGATGTGGATCACTGGCAAGCTACGACTTAGTCATCAATGCGTCGCTTTTGCAAAACCTCGTTATGCATCAAATCTTGGCTATACAAATTCTGGTATTTGTAAAACATGGTTTTAGGAACAATGCCATTTGGGTAGCTTCTAGATGAATCTAGTATATATCTAATCCCCTGTTTGGCTCATATAAATGTAAAACGATGTTTTGGCAATTTGTTGTAAATCAATTTAGGCGTTCCTTTCATAATTTGATGATTACATATCAGTTTTTTTAGTAATTAAAATATAATTCCTTCAAAATAAGCTATCTAGAGTATGAGAAACAAATTAGAGAATTCAAATCTTATTTTATAAAACAACTTATGGTCAAATTTTGATTTACGTCCCTTCCCTCTCGGTCTCTCTCTCAAGAATGTTTTCGAATATATTGCTTATTTGAAAAAAATCATATATGAATATGTAATTTTTAAATAATAATCTTAAATAATAATAATTAATTATCTACCCAAAAAATAGTAATAATTAATCATGAGTAACATGACCTACAAGATATATACCACTCATAATATTATTACTTATAATATATATTTTAATAAAGTCTTTAAATCATCATTATTCCAAAATAAATATTTAAATAATAATAAACATAAATATTGTAAAATCATAATTATGATAAATATGTAATAATATGATATTATTTTATGGGAAAAGTTTATATAGAGCCAAGGCTCTAAAGATTCAAATTCGAGCCTGCCTAAAACATTTCACTAGAAGAGGTTGTTTTGATACCCAAATATCCTCAAATTGATCATCTCGACATCAAGATGCATGGACATGAGAGAAAAATGGATTTCAAGTTTTGGAAATAGCGTATTTTGTAACGCATTTTTGGACCGTCAATTTTCAAGGTTTTGAAGTTTTCATAAATCTCTAGATTTACACTATTTTTGAAATTTTAAACTCTATAAACAAAGATGAAAATGTATTTTAAGGCTATCAAAAAGATTTTTAATATTGAAACCACATTTATCAACACTATTTGAAGGTAGGCTCTAATTTGATTGTTTAGAGCCTAGGCTGTATACAAAGCACACCCTTATTTTATTAGTATTAACATAATATTACAATATTAATAAATGTTATAATAAAAAGGACATGGTCTTTATGAGTCCTTGTCTCATATGTAGAAATGCACCCCCTCTTAAGAATCAAATTTTTAAATGAATTTTTTCCCTAAGTTTTTAGCGAATCTAAAATATCTAACATGGAGATCATTATTATGTAAAAAATTAATTTTAAAAACTAAAAATAATAAATTTTAATGGAATATTTGGAACATTGGTTTTAATATTTTTTAGAGGGACCACCATTTACATCTATATTTGAGATGGATGGTTTACGAGTCCAAAAATGTTGAGTATATTAAGGAAATAATCAATGTTTAGGAGTATCCTAACAAAACCCTTTTGAGTACTCTAACTTGGGTTCTAGGGGGCTACTTGATGTGAGTTATCAATATTCTCAAATTGGTCAAGTCGTGAGTTTCCAAATATAGCTTGTAGTATAATGCTATTCATCAATGAATTTGAAAACTATAAAAATGATTTTTCATGAAATGAAACTGTTCTGTTTAATGTGATGCTTATGGTTTGCTTTTCTATTTATCTTTGTTTGCTCATTCTCTGAAGCAATGTCTGGATATCAATTTGAGGCAAACGGAGTTCATCGGATTGCATTTTATCCTTTGGTCTGGTGGAACCTGGATTAAAAACGAGGGCTCAAACTTTTACATAAACCTAAAGTTGGTGAGTATAATACTTGGAGATGTTTTCAATTTGGTTTCTAACAGTTCTGCCTTGAGACTCATCTTTGTTGTGTTTTGCTGTTTTCTTATTGCATCTACGTTGAGATTGGATCTTATCAATGCTCTTGGCTTGAAAAGTCTCCCTTGGACCTATGCATCCAAGTTGGATATTACTTTTAATTTTATATTTTTTTATTCTTTTCTTTCTTTCAACATAGATTATGAATGGATGAGCTGTTAAGAACCTAACCATGAGTCTATTGTTTTATATTTATTTGTAGCTTTTGAAGCACTTTCAGGAAACAATAGGCAGTTCCGTATTGATTGAAGGGTTATAGCTAAGGAATGGTGTCAAGACAATAATTTAATCTTTTTCATACTTGTTAAATGTCTTTGTATTGTTGTGGTGTTCTTAGAAAGAGTGCATTTTATACTGTTATCTTCATTAGGTGATTTTATTGTTGTCTAAGTGGCCTTAAAGCCAAAAGTCTTATTCTCAGTGGAAGTTAGAGAGAGATTGAATTTGGGTATTTAGTGCACTGGGGCCCACATTCATATACCCCGAGTATTTAAGGCATTGAGAGTATGCGTTTTGAGAGTGTGAACTCTCGGGAAGTTGTGAGGGTCACCTCCTAGTCAGGACTAAATTGATTAGAATGCCTCATAGTTGATGTGATAAGCCCGAGGTTGGAGAATCCAATCGAGAATAATAAAACCCGAGTATTTAAAAGAGTATTCGTCTTGTATGGAATGGTCGGCTCATGGGACATGAGCCCGTATCGCGACACGAGATTGTTTCTTAGCATATGCACCCACAGTCATATGGGGAAGCCACTCTTTTATAGTATTATTTGACTTAGAAGAGTTAGTGCACATGTGCTTTGAGAGGACCCCTGTATTTGAGTAGGAACATATTCCATAAGAGTGCACTAGTAATCCATTGAACCCCGGTGACGGGAAGCTCTGGCTCAGCGACTTTGATGTGACAAATTATGTGTCCTTACCATAGACTGTGAAGCATAGGTCCGTTGGGTCAACTTGAGATATCGGTGGAACGCCATTCGGGTTGGTCCAATGGAAGACTTCGACTAGTGTTATAAGTCTAGAGATCTCATATACCTTTGGCCCAAGTTAATTTAAAATTGATGAGAAAAGATTTTATATTGATGAAAAAATGTATAATAATATTGAAAAATCATTTGGAGAATCTTTCGGATTTTTGAAAAAATTTTCAGAATTTTTAAATCATCAAAAATATGATTTTCAAATTTGTTAAACATAAATACCAAACAAGAACATCCTATGGGGATGCCACATGGATCCCAAGTGGCCATAGGGATGTGACGTGGCAACCCTACCTACCCACTCGTGGATGACATCATGCTGATGTCATATCCTTGTGGGCACCTATTTGTCATTAGTTCTTTTGTTAGTATGATATTATAATATGTTACCTTGTTACTTAAACTGTTATATATTATTATGACTTAAGTTTGATTTTAGTCACTTTTTTTTTTTGCTCACATGTGCCATTTTTGGCATGTGTGAAGTCATGGGATTTTGAGAATTAATTTGATTTATGTTATTATTCACATATGATTTTGTGGTATGTGGGTGGCACCACCTTATGGCTTGCTTTGGTGCTATTCAAATCCTATTAGTGGTGTCATAAAATATAGTATTCACGTGTGTGGATGTCCCATATTACTTTTATGTCCATGTCCTTGTCTTTTATTGACTCTCACAAATTATTTAAAAACCATGGGCATAAGTGTAAACATGAATTTGGACTTAATGGAAAATAATATATGGAGCTAAGGGCTTTAAGGTAAAATGACTATAATCCTAAGTTTTAAGGAGTGAAGGATGTCAAAAGCTCATCCATTGATCTTAGTGATAAGATATAGATGAGTGGCTTGGATAAAAGCCTTTTATGTGCCATTGATCTAAGGCATCAATGGTCAAGATCAAATTTACTTTATGATCTAAGTATAAAAGTAACTTACGAGATTATTTCAAAACCCTAACTCGAGTATTCACTTTAAAGAGAGAGAGAGAGAGCCCCCTTGACAAAAATGTGGCCACTCATCAGACAATCTTATTCCTTGAGCTTTCATTTGCAACCCTTCCATGGAGTAGTCCTTCATGTGTGATCAAGCTCATACTATTGCTTTACTTAGGTATTGATTTTTCTTCTTATATTTCAATTCCTACTACATCTCCATTATCAAAGCTTGTTGTACTTTTTAATTTATAGTAACTGTCTCCATCTTTTGGTCATGAAGACAGTGTAGAGTTTCCAAGCAATAGTGTAAGTCCATACACATAGCATGTGTAGACTAATGTGTTTACTCCATAACCTTGAATAGTTTCACTTTAAGATTATTGATCCAAATTTTCTGAAATTTTTATTTAGAGTATACATCTGATCAAAGGTTCATGTGATTATATTTGAGCATATGAGATAATATCTTGAACCCTTTTTTGCATAATGAAAAGTTCGTGTGGTCCCTCTTGAACCACATGGTGTAGTTTCACCATATCTTCTTTATTTTGTGTAGTCTCTCTCAAACTTTAAAGAGCTGTCTTGATACATGGCTCTCTCATGATTTGATCTCCATTAAGTGAAAAAAAAATGATCATTTGCTTCCCATTTGATTGATCTCCTTGAGTTATTATTATCACTCGTGCCTTAGACAATGGGACAAAATTAAGTCCTCAAAAGGCTCATTCGTAGCCCGGGCACGAGGGGTTCGAACCATGGTTTCCCCCATGTATGTTTGCATGGTAATTTGATATATTTACTGTTATTTAGTGATTCATGATTGGTAGAATTGAGTATGTTATGTAAATATTGAGATTGTTCTTTAATCTTGTGGTATGAGCTTTAATGCTATGCTTTATTGTTTATGTGAATTGAAATCTCATTGGATTAGTATGATCAAGTGTATGATGTGTATGAGACATGATGAGGATGAAGAATAAAAATGAAACTATTATGTAATTTTGATATAATGAGGAATTTTGAGTGCAAGTCATATAATATGTCGTAGAGATGTACATTGTGAGTAGTTGGACATTATATTGAGTTTAATTGTATTTTTGAGTAAGGGATTTGTAACGGATCTATTAGGGTTGGATTTTTATTATTCAAATGTGTATAAACTATATTTGTAGGCTGGAATATATGTATTATGGTTTTGTGTTGAGATATTCATGCATTTAAACCCTTGAGTTTTAATATAATGGACTTTTTGTAAAAGATTGCATATCTAGCCCATTGGTCATATACCACCAACATTTATTTGTTTTGATACCCTGATTTTGCCATGATGATACAATGAAAATCTGGTAGAGTGTGGGAGATGGGAAAGGAGTGGTCAAACAGTTGCTTGATGAAATATCTGAAAGAGAGAAGGACGCAGAGAGATCACTCATGCACAGGTGGGCTTGACGCATGAAGACATTGTATATAACTTTGGTTGTCACTTCTCCACATTAATAGCAATGCTGATCTTCTTGTGATCTGTGGTGTAGGTTTAGTATTGCAACAGACCTAATTGAAAGGGCCAAAAATGAAGGGGAATTGGGCCTTGTTGGAATGTTGGTTTGGTTGAGATTCATGGCGTGCAGACAACTCACATGGAATAAAAATTACAACGTTAAACCACGGTATGGAGCTGGGATTTTATTTGTGCCTTTCAGTTTTGTTCTTCTGATGGATTTAAAGAACATTTCCTAGAATACCGGAATCTCAAGTTGTCCCAGAAAACTAATACTTATTCTATTATGGAGTGCTAAGGCTTTGTATACATGTATGATGTATCTCACGGAAAGTCTCTTAAATCTTTTTAGGAGTGCCATGTTTGGATATTTTGGGACCTTACTTGAACTTGGGATGATCTTAATGATTCTTGGCCTTATTTTTTAGCTTCTTTCTTTTGTGTAGCATTGCATGATGTACGATTTTCCTCTGATATTGTTTGAATTTGAACATTTAAATGACTTCAGCATGCTCTAATATGACACTCATATGTATCAAAACCTTGAAGAAAGGTTACATTTGTCAATGGCATATAACATGTTTATTTGTTGCGGTATGGGTTGTTCTAGTGAGATCAGTGCAGCTCAACATAAGCTTACAGATTCACTGCAAAGAATATATATGGACGAACCAAATTACAGGGAAATTGTTCGTTTAATTATGTCAAGTATAGGCCGTGGTGGTGAAGGTGATGTTGGGCAGCGTATACGGGATGAAATATTGGTACTTCAGGTAACAAGAAGTTTTTTTTTCCCCAAAGAAAATGCGTCATCTCCTAGGGAAACATATTGCATTCATGTTCAACTTTGTTGTTTATTGATTTCAGAGAAATAATGACTGCAAGGGTGGAATGATGGAAGAGTGGCATCAAAAGTTGCATAACAACACAAGCCCAGATGATGTCATCATTTGTCAGGTGAAATGGCAGGCACACACACATACACAAAAAGCAAAATTTGAAAACACATACTAGAAAGTATTTTTTTTAGTACAGTTAACATAAGTTGTTCACTTTGGTGTGACACTTAGATCTTGGGGTTAGAAGGATTTGTTCCCTTTCCAAATTTTTTAGAAGGCTTTATTATCATTAAATAAAGGAAAAATTGTATATAAGTGCGAGGCTCTAAACAATTAAATTAAGGTGCACCGCAAAAATTTTACTAGAAGAGATTGTTTCGATGCCAAAAAATCCTCAAATTGATCATCTCGACCTCAAGATTCATGGACATGAGAAAAAATGAATTTCAAATTTTGGAAATAGTGCATCTTGTAATACATTTTTCAATCGTCAATTTTCAAGATTTTCAAGTGTTCATAGATTTGCTCGATCTACACTATTTTTGAAACTTTATATTTTGTAATCAGAAATAAAAATAAATTTTCAGGGCATCACAAAGATTTCCAGTGTTGAAGCTACATTTTTCGACACTATTTGAAGGTGCGCTTTACTTTGATTGTTTAGAGCCTCGGCCCTATACAAACTACACCCTTAGATAAACAGTTTTAACAAAAACAAAAGAAATATGATTTTGAGTTCATTAAGGTCTAGATCTTGAAATTCACCAAATGGATGGTCCATATTCATTGTTGGAGGGGGACATATTTTGACCATATCTAGGGTGCAATTGAATTTTATTTGTTTGGGATTGATTATTGAGATGAAGAGAAGGTATGTACAATTTTTGGGGTTATACAAATGCCAAAAACATGGTTTTTTATAAAAATGTGGTTTCATTATATTATAATGACAATGTTGATATGGCCCAGGCTCTCTTGGATTATGCCAAGAGTGATTTCAATATTGCTGTTTATTGGAAAACGTTGAATTCAAATGGCATTACAAAGGAAAGGCTTGCATGTTATGATCGACCAATTGTATCAGAACCTCAAATCAAGAGGAATGTTAAGGACGGATTCATTCGGGACCTCACATCCTACTTGAGAACGTTAAAGGTTTGGTTTAGCCCTTTACCACAGTTTGAGAAGCCTCATTGATAGAACTAGCCAAACAAAAATAATTTAAATATTGTGGCCACATTGTTAGTGATCTCCACAAAAGCTTTGTTTTAATATTGAATTGTTGAAAGCTATCTATTGTCTTTCTGAGATCAAATTAAATTTTTTGAAAATTGTTAACCGAGCTTTATATATGGCTAGCTATGTGGATCAGGATTCAGGGTTTAACATAAATTATACTTCTTGTTTAATAAAATTAATAAGATTACAATCTTAAACGTCTTGGTTCGCATAAATACTGATTCATTGGAAATTGTATTTTAATCATGATGGCTATTTATTTTGTCCTCGCTAGAATAATTCTTCTTTTCAAGAGCTGTTTGATCCACTTGTTAGAATGAAAATTTATCAGAATTCTCATTCACAGTTTAGTTTGAACAAAAAGGTTTACCTCTGCAATGTACGCCCTTGCTCAAAACCATAGCAGGGGGACCCTTTGGACCCGAAATTTTGGGGATAAGTTCTATGCACTCTGAGCCCAAGCTCTTCCCCCCTTTTCTTTAAGTATGCACCTTAAGAAGTGCCTTAAAACTGCACTATCCATGAACACGGACTTTCCATCTTTTTGACGGTCAAATCTAGGTCTTAAAAAGCTCAAATTCAATCTTTTAAGTTGTCCATCTGATAATGATGAGGCAATTTCCAATTTTGGGTCAAACAAATCCTCCTAGGGCTTTGATCTAATAGAACACCTGAAATTGTTGCCCTGTCACTGCATTTTCTCTCTTGTAAAAATCATTTTATATCTTTTTTTTTAGGTCACGGTATTGTTCATCGGATCCAAGAGAGCGTGTGTACCTAACTTAGGCCCGAACAAATCTCTAAAGTCCCTCAAAAATGATGTAGCACAGACACTATAGTGGTCCACCCTAGGGTGGACCAAAACTTTTTCCTTATGTTGATTATATAATGTAGGGATTCATCCTTTTATACAGAGTATGTGACACAAAAGCCTAAACTAACCCTGCATAAAGGACCATGTACAAATATACTCAATATACGAAAGTATGCTGTATGCATGTCAACAACTCCCTCTAATTGGTGCATACACTTTAGTGTCAGCTTGCTTACTAAGTAATAATCTTGGTGCCTGATAACTAATGTATTATAAAACAAATCTTCTATCAGATCCTCAAAGTTATATATGGCAATCAAAGAACACCACGAACCACAAACAAGACTTGAGTACAATGACAATCAACCTCGATATGCTTTGTTTTGTCAAGATATAGCCCGTTAATAGAAAACTTGATAGCACTGATATTATCACCATAAAGGTGTGTTTGAAGAGATGCATACCCCTGGGTTGGCTAACAACACGTGAAGCCACAAACCTTATCATAGGTAAAGGACATCGTTCCATGTTCTATCTCTCAGTACTGGACTTAGAGACTATCAGAGCAACTTGGGTAGAATTCTCGTTCACATATTTGTTGTTACAATGTTAGGGATTTATGCTTTATATATGAAGTATATGTGATACAAAATACTGATACAAAATATTTAAATAGCCCTATGCAAAGGACTATGTACTACGGCAACCAACATACAAAGGTCTGCATGTCATTGCCTTGAGTACACTAAAAATGATATATTCTGAAGCAAATTAACCCATTGAATTTCTATTGTCAAGTTAAAACCATTGATAGATTTTAGGTTCTCGATGCATCAAAGACATTGATAGCTAGCATATCTCATATTGTAACCCTCCTTGAAGGAAGTTTTTTCCATAAATAAGCACTCGATATTTTCCAAACTAAATAGATAGAGTTGCAGTCAGTTTTACTTATTCTAGAAATGTTTACATGTTGCAGGCCGTACATTCTGGGGCTGATCTTGATTCTGCAATTGCAACCTGTTTGGGTTACTCCTCAAAGGTAAGCCAAAGAATGTGTGTCGAGGATATTTTCCTCCAGATTTCCCTTCACAGTCATATTTTGTCACTCATATGGCTTAAATATCTATACAATAAATTGCAGGGTCATGATTTTATGGGTGGAGTTGCCATTCGCCCTGTTGGTGGATTGTCTGCAAAGCTTACGGTAAAGTGCATGAAATTTGATTTTGTGCAGTCTAATAGCATACTATCTTTGGGTACATGTTCAACATGATCATTAAGACGTATATGGACCTAAATTAACTTTGGATAAATAAAAATACTATAATTTTATGAACTGTGGGAAAACATGGTTTTAGGTCATTGCATCATCACCTTGGATGGTGACGTAGAGGGTCATCACATTCACTAAAAAGATGGAAACTGATGTAGAGTGGGACCTAATATTGTTTTCATGTCCTCTTTTGGTGACCCCACTCTCCTCTGTCTGTCATTTCAATGGACAGTACTCATCCAATGGACTTCCATAGTCCATTGAGTTGTTGCATGCAACCCCCTGTAACATTTTTGTTTATTTAGTGTACTTTATGGATTTGGGCCACTGCATTAAATTCATAACTTATGGCAGGAATGTTTAAAATTTGTCCAAGCACATGTTGAGGATTATCACACTGGTCCACTATTAGAGGTTTGTCTTTAGTTGTGCCTTATGACATTTATTTCTCTTCATAACCCACACTTTTCCTTGATTGGAGGAGGATATCTTTTTGAAAATCTGGACAAAATATCTTTTCAGAAACTACTGGAATCTCGCTGTGAGCTTCGACCACTCCTGCTTAAACCACATGAAAGGCTCAAGGATCTTATATTCTTGGATATTGCTTTAGACTCCACTATTAGAACATCCAAGGAAAGTGGGCACGAGAGACTTAGGAATGCCCAACCAAAGGTGATTGTCTTGCCTTCTGCTGAGAGATTGAGCTAGAACCACTGCTAACATTATTGTTTTCTGTCATCATCATCATCATCATAGCCTTCTCCCAATTAAACATTATTGTTTTCTGTACCAATCAATATATGTATATGCACACTTGAAAATAGTTTTTCCCAAAACTCCGTTTGCAGTTAAAGCAATTCATAATTTAATGTTTTAATCTTTCTTGAAATTGTCGGGCAGGATGTTATGTACTTCATCACTTTAATGCTTGAAAATCTGTGCCTTTCGTCTGTCAACAATGAAGAACTGGTTTTCTGCATTAAGGTACAAACTCCCACACTGCAAAAAGTATGCTTGCTGCTCTGTGGTAGCACCAATTGTCCTTCTTCTAGTGAATGTGAATGCGGCAATGATAATACTTTTGAAGAGTGCCTGTTACATTTTTTATGTATATATGCGCTATTTATAAAGAGCGCCATTTTAAATATCAAATCTTTCACGACAATGCCCTTGCATTGCTAGAATTCTACTAAATTGGTCTTGAATGGCCTTGGATCAGTTTGTACTGCTCTATGATAAGGAAAGATTCTTTAAAGGAAAATGATATGAAAGGTTTTCAGGATAAAACTTTTTCTGCCCTGGTGATTTAAAATGGATTATTGAAAATAATCTTCTGTATTGAATCTTAAATGTCGATGTGTATATCCAGGCCTTTGGAAACATGTTTGGTACTGGGATAGTGATTCTGTTATGAAATAAGATCTTAGTTACTCTTCTATCTTCTCATAATTGATCTGGTTCCTTTTCTGTAAGGATAACTTTCATTATGGGTTTGCATTATTATATGGGACCTTTTTGTACTTTGCTTGGCTCTTTTCTTCATAATTAAAAGCTAATATGTAATTAATAACATCTGGTGTGTTATTTCTCTTGAAGGACTGGTATCGTGTGACTGATTTGCATGAATCTAATGATGAGCTATGGGCTTTGCAAGCAAAGGCTGTTCTTGACCGTATTCGCCTGATACTTGCTGATAGGGCCGAATGCTATCATAATATTTATCAACCAAGTGCAGAGTATCTTGGTGTTCTGCTCAGGGTGGAGAGATGGGCAGTACGTTTTTATCCTATTTAACCAGATTTCTTTCTGTGATAACAACAACACTGCATCCTCTTAACTAATAATTTGCTCCATTTGAATGTATGATTCTATAAGCCATTAACAAACTTTTCCATCTTTTATTTATTAGATCAGCATTTTCACAGAAGAACTAATACGGTCAGGATCTGCTGCTTGTCTCTCCTTGCTTCTCAACCGTCTTGATCCCATTCTTCGAAGTGTCACAAATCTGGGCAGGTAAGTAGCTAATGATTCATGGAGAGTAAACTGTAATCCAATGGACTATTAGGATCATCACCATTTAATGAAATAACGAAAACCATGATGGAGAGGGAGGGAGACCCACCAAAGACCCATGGATGCCCCACTCCATCTATTTTCAATGGATGACAATGATTCTAATGGACTACGGTTTTCTATAGTCCATTGGATTATAGAATACTTTCACGTTATTTATTAAGAACTTTTGCACCTTATTTCTGAAGTTATATTGTTATATCTGTCAATTTCATTATTGAGTATAGTTTCTTTTTCTTGTACATTGGTAGTTGGCAGATTATTAGTCCTGTGGAAGTGCGTGGCATTGTGACTGTTGTGGAAGATATAGCTAAGATTCAGGAGAATGTTTATAGGCAACCAACTGTCATGATTGCAAATAAAGTGAAGGGGGATGAAGAAATTCCTGATGGGGTAGTGGCTGTTTTGACCCCTGATATGCCAGATGTTCTTTCCCACATTGCTGTACGAGCCAGAAATAGCAAGGTCTGGTGTCTGTACATTTGTTTATTCCAATATACAAAAATTCGGCTGACCGGACTGCCTAGGCGGCCTATTTCTAAAACCACCTAGGCATGGCCTAGGTGGGGGGGGGGGGGGGGGGGGAGTTCTAAGCGGCCTTGTTTAAGGCACCCGCCTTGGAGGGTCTGGGCACCTAATTGGTGCCACCTCATTTAATTTTTTGTTCTTTTATTTAGTGAGAGCGAATTAGGTCTATTGACAGAGAGACATTTTATTGTTGTACTTCTATTCATTTATCATAGAGAGAAAAAATATATTTTTTCTATAAAACTATCATTTCTTTAATTTTTGCTGATTAAAAAAGCAAAGTACCTAGCACGGCTCTTAAAAAAGTAAAGTATTCTTTTTCTTTTATTTAGTAAAATACTTCCTTCATCTTTAGAAGAGAGAGAGGGAACAGTTCTTAAAAAAACACATATATGGCACATTTACACAATAACTCATGCACATAGCCGTGATATTAATATTGCTTTTCTATACAATTGTACATTGCCTGGCATTAATATTAAATTTTTATACAAATCGAAACCACAAAAGGGAGAGAATGCAACCCCCTCCCCTCAAAAAGAGAAAAAAAACCCTAGAGCCACCCAAGTATATGGGCGCCACCTCCTCCTCCTTTAATATTGGCTTGTTCTAATATCCACAAAAGAAAAAATATTAGGATAGTGCCTGCTACACTTGCATGAATTGTGTTAAGTACTGTAGAAACTTGAAGTCTTAAAATAGTGTGAACCTTAGTTGTCGAGATCTTTCAACTAGGTGGCGATCCCGTTTCGACGCTCTAGGAAAGGGATATTAAAGGGATTTTGATTTTCAACTTTTGGAACCTTGATCCCCACTGTTAAGGATCTCGATCCCCACCACATCAAAAGCCAAGATGTTTAGCAAACTAATCATCATCGTCAGAGCCTTTTTCCAACTAATTGGGTCGGCTACACGAATCTCAGTCCGCTATTCTGCTCTATTAAGGGTCATACCGTCAGTGAGGATATAAGTCTCCATAAGATGAGAGAGCAAACTTAGGTGGGCTATTCATGTGTGGTGCCAACCCAGTACAACACCTGTTAGGAGGTGCAAGTTAGTTCAAGTGGAAGGATTGAAAAGGGCAAGGGGTAGGCCAAAACGGATGCGATTGGAAAGGATCCAAAAAGATATGGGGACTTTTGGTGTCACTGAGGATATGACTTTTAATAGAGCAGAATGATAGACCAGGATTCATGTAACCGACCCCAATCAATTGAAAAAGGACTATGATGATAATGATCTTTTCTCATTAGGCCTACCCTTTTCTGTTTCTGAGCCTTCCACTTGAACTAACTCGCACCTCCTAACAAATGTTGTATTGGGTTTGTGCAGCACATGGCTAGCCCACCTCAATCTACTTTCTCACATCTTATCAACCCGAATATATTTATTTTGAATTCTATCCCTTCTTGTTTTGCCACTTATCCATCTCAACTACACTCATTATATGGGTATGTTTTTTCTTGACCGTCCAACATTCCACCCCATAAAGCAAAACTGGTCTCACAGTTGTCCTATAGAACTTCCCATTCAACTTCATTGGTATGTGGCGATCACATAAAACTTCAGTTGCATATCTCAACTTCGCCCAACCAACTCTAATTCTATGTGCGACATCTTCCTCATTCTTTTTATTTTTCTGGATTATCGACCCAGGATATCCAAAGTGCGCTCTTTTTGGTATTTCTTGGCTGTCAATCTTTAATGACTTCCTCGTCTCTACGACTATTACGAAACTTGCATTCCATATACTCTGTCTTAATCTAGCTAATTTTAAAACCTTTAGATTTTAGAACTTCAAAGTTCTAACTTTGTGTTGATGCCATTTCGGGTCTCAATGATCAAAACTATGTCGTCCGTGAACAACATGTACCATGGTACTTCATCTTGTAGGTGCCTAGTTAAGTCGTCCATAATTAAGACAGAGAGGTATGCGCTCAATGTTACCCTTCATGTAGACTTATTATCACTGAAAACTGACTCGTCTCTGCACTAGTTGTTCATACACTAGTTAACTCTCCCTCATAAATATCTCTCGTCAAGTCGATGTAGCCTCTGGAGACTCCCTTTCTAACACCCACCAAATCAAATCTCGAGGTGCTCTCTATCATAAGCTTTTTTTGGATCAACAAAGACTATGTGGAGGTCTTTTTCCTTCGTCTTAAACTTTTTAATCCGTTACCTAAGTAGGTAAATAGCCTTAGTTGTTGACCTCCTTGGCATAAAATAGAATTAATTTTTTGATACACTTGTTTCATGCCTATGTCATTGCTCAATCACTCTCTCCTACATCTTCATAGTGTGGCTCATAAGTTTGATCCTTCGATATTTTGCATATTCTGTATGTCTCATTTGTTCTTGTAAATAGATACCACAATACTTTTCCTCCATTCATCTGGCATTTTCTTTGTTCTCAACATTTTGTTGAACATCCCGTCTCCCCCATGGACTTCGAAACCTCTATCGAATACCATCTAGTCCTAAAACCTTCCCTATCTTTGTCCTCTTCAAAGTTTGTTTCACTTTCGATATCCTAATCCTACGAATGTATTTAGGACCTCCGCTATCATTTATACCAACGGTTACTTCTACTGTTATATTCCCATTGTATTCATTATTTAATAATTTTTGAAAATAAATTCTCCACTTTTGTTGACCTCTTCATCTTTCAACAAGATCCTTTGAACTTTACTCTTAATGCATTTAATATGGTCTAAATCCCTACATTTTTTCTCTCTCATTTTTTCTAATTTGAAGGCATCTTTTACCGGTTCTTGTACCCAGTTTCTGTATAGGTTAAGTTTAGTCTTACTTATTATTTGTTTAGCATTTTTATTAGCATATTTATATTCTTCTAAGTTTTGATAATTTCTATTACATTGTCAAGTTTTATAACATGTTCGTTTTTCGCTAATGGCTTTCTAAACCTCATCACACTACCACCAAGTTTTTTTATCGAAATTTCTTTTCCCTCTAAATTCTCCTAAAACCTCTTTTGCCACTTTCTTAATACAGTCAGTCATCTCATTCCATATAATATTGATCTCATATTCAAAGTTCTATTTTTTTTTTTTAATTTATCCCTAAATGAGTCTATTTTCTCATTTTTTAAATTCCACCACCTAGTTTTTAGACACCTATTAATTTCACCCCTTCTCTTCGATGTCTTTAGAAAGATGTCCATAACCACAAGCCTATATTGGGTACACAAACTCTCTCTTGGGTAACCTTACAGTCTTTACATGATAGTCGATCTACCTTCTTAACTAGGAAGAAGTCTATATGGAATTTATGTGATCCACTTTTATAGGTTATTAAATGTTCATCTCACTTTTTAAATGATGAGCAAACTAATAAGTTTCTTAATTTATTGCCAGCTAGTAATGCGGCTATACTTTTAATATAATTCCATCATTTGTTGGCTCTAAATAAAAATATCCCTAAGTTATAGAGTGTATATAGTCCTATATCCTCTTTAGCCTGGGAGTAAGATCCACAAAAGGTTGAACTTGATATTCCAAAAAGTTTGGATCAAGATCCTAAAAAGTTGGATTGAGATCCCTAACATTTGGGATCTTGATCTACATATGCATTGTATGGATGACGCTCCCATCCATAGTGAGTTTTTAGCCTTTCACGATCCCCTGCTCTGGAGCGCATTCCCGATCCCAACAACTATGGTGCAAACTCTTCATTTTATTTTAAGCGGCCCTTTTACGCACATTCATTCTACAAAATGCTTTTGCATATATTGCATGGACATGGGTGGTGTCAGTGTTTGACACAGATATGTGGTGTCAGATTACTCATGCCATGAAGAAGAGGATTGGCCAAGAGGGCTGTATTATGAAAACAACCAAATCCAGCAATGTTGTACTGGTATTCCATATCATGATGAGGAGCAAGAGAATAAATTATACCTTAACTGTTGATATCGTATATATTTTGGAAATACTCGTAGACATTTTCAATGTAATGTTTCTACCCAAATCCAAAAAAAGATCATGTCTCTAAATTGGTGCAATCAGTGGTTAATGAACACGAAGAAGAATACAAAAGAATCTGCATTGGAATCTTAGGGGATAGGTGTCCAAGGTACAGCCCCAAACAGAAAAATCCATGTAACATAGGTTATTTTCTCACCTTTCATGTTAGAGTTTGGGTAAATCAGTTATTTTGGATAAAAAGCCCAATCTAGGCCACGTTTTAAGATTCCAAGTTTAGATAACCTCATGATTTATGCAGGTATTCCAGACACTGATATGATATTGATATTAAGCTTTGTTCGATATGATTCAAATTCCTCCCCAAGTGTAAACAGGAAACATGAACAACAGTTATGCACAGTTCAAAGTTTGCACACTGGTTTTTACGTATTGGATGTACTGCAGGTTTGCTTTGCCACCTGCTTTGATAAAGACATTCTTGGGGATCTAAAATCAAAGAAAGGGAGGGCAATATTAGTTCAACCTAGCACAACAAGTTTGGTTTACAGGTCTGCTCAATTAGAAGCTTTCTGCATTCCCAAAAAACTCTTTAACCATGATGCAGTTTTTCATATATTCGTAATTTGTATTTAATTGCAGTGAACTAAGAAGCTCAGACTTATCTAATGAGTCATTGTCATCCTTTATTCCTGCTATTGCTTTAAAGAAGAAGACCTTCAGTGGGAAATATGCCATCTCATTTGAGGAGTTCACTAGTGAACTGGTAAGTGTATTGGTAACATGCATATTTATTATTGAACTTTAAATGATAACTACTTCTTGTCTCAGTGTGCCATGTGTGTTTTCGATAGGAAAACCCTTGGCACATTTTTGTAGTTTTCTTGATGAAAAATCATTGTATGACTTGTTCCAAGTAAATTAATGAGATGAAATAGGCAAACTTGTTTAACTATGGCTATGAAATGATAGGCCTTCAAGCCTATGACTATGAATTTCATGTGTCAAAATTTGTAAATATAGTAAAAACTGGCATTTTTCTTCCCCAATGCTTTTAATAGAGAATCATCTCTTGATTTCATCTGATTTAAACTTCAGAGGAATTTCGTTTGTTGGTTGTCCAAAATGACATTTTAATTTTAGAACAAATGAATTGGGGCTGGAATCCCAGGCTTGGTTGTCCTAATGCGCAAAAGGATGTGAAGGATATCCCATTTATTATACAACGAACATGCTTACAATTGAAATTGGAAGTTTGCAAATGATAATTGACAAAACATTCTTGTATAGATGCTTTTATGCAGCAGTTTATTTTTCACCTCCCAACATTTTTTTCCTATGCATGAGAAGAATTGTTGTTGGCCCATTGAATTTCTATACTTTCATTTTAGGTGGGTGCAAAGTCTGTTAACATTCAATACTTGGGAAGAAAGCTTCCATCATGGGTAAAGGTTCCAATCTCAGTTGCTCTACCATATGGAGTATTTGAGGCTGTCCTGCGAGAAGTTGTGAATAAGGTAGAACTTTCTTCTATAGTGTATGCCAGACGATTTTATATGGCAAGGATGCGAGAAAAGTCATGCTTCTGTTTACTTATTTTTAATACTTATGATTTGGATACCTTCTCTGATTTTACATGATGTGACGTATCATGATATTGGGATTGTTCATGTTTCCTATCCATTTATGTCTAGTGAATACTATGTTCAACTTCATTTTTTTGTGATGCATAGATACTTCAGTATGGGCGATGTATTTAAAAAACTCATGCAAAACTGCTAAACTTGACCTCTTAACAATGCCTACGGCCATGTGCAGACAGCATAAGACCGATTTTCATGATGCGATAAAATTATACCTTTAAAAGTTTATCGTATTCCTCTTTTTTGGTATTTAACTCTGTTGCTTAGATTTTTGTACAAATAATCTCATAAGTTTACATGTGTTAATGAACTTCTACCTTTTCGTATGCAATTTTAATGACACTAGAGCTACTGCACTTATTAGGAGCTACATGTATCTCTGAAGTAAAAACAATGTATTGTGGGGTATTGTGTCACAAAATCATAATTCGGGAATGAAAACATTGGAACTGAAATGGACCAAAACTGTGACACCTAATCCCAGAGTCCTGCACTATCCCTGGTTGCATTGAAGTTTTGCTAGTTTGCTAAGCTATTCATCAATCACCAAAATTGCTTTCTTGTACATAGAGTTTGTAGACAAAGGAAACTCTAATTTATTATTGACTATTTTTCTAGATATTTATTTTTTCTTGTCGTGTAACATTCCATAATAACTTCACTGCTACAACCTGTATGGTTTCTTATTTTCATGTGACCTGTAGTTCCTGTCTTCCTTCTCATTATGACAAGAATTAGTGAGCACAATAGATATGGCCCACAGTGACATGCTCTTTGCAAACATTGTCATTTTATCTAGCCACATTTTGTGGATGATTTTAGTTGTAGTTTGATCTTTGATGTTTTTTACATCTTTGATTTTAAGTACAAGATGCTTAGCAAACTAAGATTAACTGTTGTACAATATGGTGTTCTATGTAGTCTGTGGAGTATATATACGATGTATTGTAGCACAAAAGTGTAATAGTAGTCCAAGGACACTTACATAGTTACTGTAATGAACAGAGGGCAAACATGTATCTTATCTCACATATATTCAAATGAAACCCTGGTGGGCAGTGACTTGGTCCATTTTGTGTTTTCTACAATCTCTTACGTATCTCTACACTGTAAACCCTAGAGTAGCTAATGTGCCTCGTTTTTATATATCAAATCTGCCTGGGTTTTATATGGTATGACAGCAGTGATCGATTCCATAGAAGCTGCTTGTATGCATCATACAATAGCATAGGAAGGTCAAGCACTTTTCTAGCAGGATCTAGGGCTGACATCATCATCTGTACAATGCTGATATCATTCTTAAGGACATGCCAGACACCCATATTTCTTGTTTTGCTATGTCCTTTGAGCTGTGGATTTTGATACTCAAAGAAGGGATTCTGGTAAGATTTGAAGGTTTTTGATTGGAACAATTTATGTTTTCCATGTTTTTTTATTCTTGCAATATCTCTTGGTGAAGTCTTGAAACTCTGACCTATACTCTTTCTTGAGCCATGTAGACTGATCTATAGTCCTATTACTCTGCTTTGGGCCACAATCTCAAAAGCTATGGCATGAGAGGAGACCCTAAAATTCCTACAATTGTTCACTCTGAGAGTGTTATCCTAGTTTGTGATTACTTCTGCTAACTTAAATGGGGCGGATTTTTGCCATGGTCTCCATCAGCCAGATATTTTTGCTTGGGGGTTATAAGTCGGGTCATATTGGTGGGTCTTCAAAATCACTGACCCAACAAACTCTAGATACAATGAATGGCGTGCTAGTAATGCTATTGTGATGGTTGGCTTTTGAATTCAATGGAGAGAAATTAGGATTGGACTCATGTTTCTTTGTACAACAAAAGAAATCTGGGATGCTATAGAAGAACAATTTTCTCAAGGAGATTATTGTGTTGTTCCAACTTTACAGAGAGAACCAATTGCAAGCAGGGTAATTATAGAGGGGTTGCATAATATGTTACCTTATGTGTTATTTGGGAGGAGTTAAATCACTCTATGACTCTTCATGATTGAGTGTGCTCAGGAGCTTGAAAAACATGTTTCCAAGGTTGAGAAGCAAAGGACCTAGGAGTTGCTAGTAGGGCTCAACATAGAGTGTGAGACTGTTTGATGCCAAATCCTTACTTGTGAGCAAACAGCCTTTCCTTTGTACAGTTTACAATCTTTTGCTGAGGGAATATTAGATTCGGACCCGACCTGACTTGGTCTAACTTGGACCCGAACCCAACCTAGACTGGGGACCGGTCCAAGTCATTTGGACCACCCAACCCATCGGTCAAGTCGTCTCTAGGTCTAGAAATAAAAATAAATGAAAACTTTATTTTATAATATATATATTCAATATTATATATCTTATATAGTTACGTATTTTATACTGATATGTGCCAGGTCGGGGTCGGGTTTACCCTCAACTGGACTGACCCGATAGGTTCCAAGTTGGACCCGGACCCGGACCTAACCGGGGTTGGGTCCTAGTCATTTGAACTATAGACCAACACTTGGACCCGACCCTGTTCAGGTCGTTGGGTCGACCCAACCCAATTGCCCCTGCTGGATTAGTGAGGTCATGATATATGCATGAATAATACTCGAGTTTGGCTCTCCAATCCCCATCCTAAGGGGTGTTAAGATCGTTCCCAAGAAACACCCTTGCTTTGGCAATCCTGGGGATTTAGTTGCAGGCTCTCTCTTTGCCTATATACTATAGGGTCTGGTAAATTAACTAGCAGCAAACCTAATCAACGGGAATTGAGGAATGAAGTCGTTCCTTTCTCTAAGGGCATAGAGAGAATTGAAAATCAAGCACAAGGAAGAAAAGCAGCCTTTTTCCTCACTAAGGTTGTACAGAGGTCTGAGAAGGAGGTCTCTATTTCAAAGATTAAGATAAGGCAAGTCCTTTGAGTCGATCTTTATGGCTGATTGATGAGTTTCTTCTTCCCCTGCTTTATGCGAATGTTTTGTTGGTTAGTTCTCACCAACAAGGAAGGAATACCAGAAAGGGAGCAAGCCTCAATGGAAAGACATCGAATGTGATTGGAAGTTAAGGGTGGAGGCCATTGATCAAAGCCAAAATAGAATCCATGGTTAAATCCACTACAAACAACTTGTTGAATGTTGTTTCCTAGAGAGAGAAACATTCTTTATAATCACTGTTGCTTGCCTATTATATCTTCCTAGAGAGAGAGGGGAAAAAAAAAAAAGAGGAAAGAGAGAGTGCATGTACTGAGAAATATAAAATTAGTCCCACATTGAAGAGGAAAGAAAGAATAGATTGGGTCTAGACTCTAGAGTTATAAAATGAAAGAACTTGTTCAAAAAGGTTATTAGATCAGAGGCTGGCCGGTCGGTCTCGGCCTTAAACCATGAATTTGGGCCGGGCTCTGGTCTTGTCTTCAAAGACAATTTCAGGCTCGCGCCTAACACTAAAGAATTTGGGCCAGGCATGGCCCATTTCATACCAAACTTCTTTGTATCTAAAACTAGGTCCTTCACCAGGGCTGACTTAGAATGCACATGAAGCTTCCCAGAAGTCATTGTCAAAAGGTATTTCCTCTTCTCCTCCTATATCACTTCATAAAGGGAAATCCTCATCCTATTCATCATATTGTGTCGTATACTCTCTCTCTCTCTCTC